TCATTACCAGCCTGCATAAAAGCACACACCTCAGACACCCTCACTGTCCGGTCTCGTATACACGTAGAGGACTCAATGACTTTGCTACTACTTCCATTTGAATACTTCCTGCATTACTTACCTCCTGTGTTCCTCCTAGTGTCTCCTCGTCTCCAAGTGTCTCCTGTTCCTCCTTGTTCACGGATCGCTGAGGTGTGTGCTCCTCCTGCCTACACACCAGCTCCTGTAAAGCCAAAGACTCGGATTCCCCCACTCATCATATCCTTCGAACTATTCATTCACCATCACCTCCTCTGGACCCTACCCCAGTACTCTCTGTGACCAAATAAACCAGTTTTATATATACTAACCTGTTGTGTCAGACCTCTTCCGTTACACCCTCTGCATTCAAGACAGACTCTACCTCAGGAAAAGTGCTCTGTGCAGGGAAAGTTTCTCACAGTTACAGTCGGGGAGAACTTATGGGGATTGACACTGACCTGACAAACGACTTCATATAATTTCCTTTGTGTGAATTTCCCTCCAATCTGATGCTCCAAGGAGAGAGATTTACTTTAAGGCCAGACATTGCTTTCAAAGGAGGCTTGGGTTAGGATGCTCTTGGACATTATGTGGCCTACTGCAAGAGGTCTCCATGTGTCTGCGAGATGTATGACAACCTGAAAAGCGGAGTGACAGGAGCGTCAGAAAAAAACAAAATATGCCCGCATGCTATCTTATTCACAATAGAGTATTGTGTAAGTATTTCTGTTGTATGCACACACCCTTGTTTTCCTACTTCTGTTTGGAGAAGACGTCTCTGCTTTTCTGGAAGTCAGGCTTGATGGAGTTTGCACTTAAAGGGGTCATATGATGCAATTTCAAGTTTTCCTTTCACTTTGGAGTGTTACAAGTTGTTCGTGCATAGATAAGATCCCTAAAGTTGCAAAGACTAAAGTCTCAAACCCAAAGAGATATTCTTTATAAAATGTAAGAATCGTCCACGCCCTCCTAAAACGCCTCATTTAAACACCCCCCCACATGTCTATGTCACTGTATGGGAAGATTTGCATAACACCGCCGAAATGTTTACGCAAAGAAAGAAGGCGTAACTTTGATTCTCGCTGTAGTATTGTTTCGCCCACCGCCGCCATGTCGTGGAGACGCTGTGTGTTTCGTTGTGAAAGCGAAACTACTTTGTTTGGCCTTCCAAAAGAGGACACAACTAGAAATCAGTGGCTAAGTTATATTTTCAACACTGTTCCAGAACAGTTCAACCCAAATATTCAGATGTGTGCAGAGCATTTTACAGAGGACTCTTTCCTGAACCTGGGAGAGTAGCCTAATGCCGGCTGTGCACAAAGGTTGTTTCTATAAAGTGGGGCAATTCCAACTTTGCAAGGACAGTCTGGCACTTCTGACTCACAGCCTGTAAGTACGTTTTCATATTTAAAGAATTTGTCACTGACGATTCAAACGCGAGTTTTGAGCAGTGTAGAGTAGCGCTTGTTGTTTATCATTTCTCCGATCACAAATGCAGACATGGTTTTATATTTACGCGGCACGATACGCAATGCGTTAAAAAGACAATATAAGTCATTCTAATCAGTAATTATGTCCCCACTGGATGCAAAAAATGCCTAGTTTGTAATGGGTTTTATTGGTTTTGTCTCTTCACGCCAGGACACGGCATCACAGTATGGTAAGGTGCATAACATTTCCGTCACACGCTTGAGGTATTCAGCCAATCACAACGCACTGTATAGCTGGCCAATCAGCGTACACCTCTTTTTTTTTACCTTAAACCGCATAAACACATTGCATTACACCAAATACACAAAATAATGTTCTTTTTAGCAACGTCATATGACCCCTTTAAGTCTATTATTCTGTGTGGCTTGAAGACAGACAGTGTGCAATGGCTTGTCAGTATTAAGTGTTTTTAAGTTAAATGTTTAAAAAGTCCATTATTTGTGTTAATGGATGATCGATAGTACTCTTTAATACAGTTTCACAAGCAAAATTATTTTGGCCTAATTCTTAATTCATTGAGTCATGAGTTTCCACATACATACATGTATATACAAGAATCGGCTAAAAACACATCTCTTCCATCTTTATTTGACCCTCTAACTCTAGCACTCTCTATTCTAATTATATTCTTAAAAAAAAAAACACTATTCATTTGCTGCTTGTTTTCTTCAATAAAAAAAAAAAACTAACACTAGCTTTCTAATCTTTTTGTATTCTATCTGTTTTCTTTTTATTTATTATACTATTAACAAAAGCAAAAAAAGGCCTCTAACACTAGCTTGCTCTATTCTTTTTCTATTCTAACTGTTTTTTTTTTATTTATTATATAATTTAAAAAAAAACCTTGCTACGCGTACTGCGTTGAGCTAACTGGGACTTGTTATAGCACTTGTATCATTGCTCTTTTGTTGATTTTGATTGCTTCCATTGTCCTCATTTGTAAGTCGCTTTGGATAAAAGCATCTACTAAATGTAAATATATACAAACACATATAGACGATGTATAAACACAGAGCTACAGCAAACAGATTATGGTGCGTGTATTTATGACATAATGTTAATATTACTACTGTTATTCACATAATAACATACAGTAACAAGTAAAAACATTTACCTTGGAGTTGGGGTTACATTACACACATCCTGTGATCCGCTGTGTCTGTTATAAGTTGGAAACACACAGTCGATAGGTAACTAAGTGAATGTGACTACTTAATGTGA